GCAGGACGAGCTGGATTCAGCGTTCGCGTCAGGCAGCAGTTAATGGGGATTCGAGTGTCGATGAGGCATGGACGCCGATGGACGTCGACGTCGGTCAAGGGAGGCCGCCGGACAGCCAGCCCCGCTGTTGTTTTTACGCGACGTGCCAGTAATTTACAGTCGGTCATTCAGCCGTACATGGCCGATGGATACGATCCGGTGGCCTCGCTATACGTCAAATTATCCCATACATCATGGGCTTTCTTCGCCCAGGCCAGAGCTCGATTTATGTCCACGCGCATAATCGAGCAATATAAATTATTAAATAAGTCTACGCCAGAAGCGTATGCGCCGCTCGGTTATTTATCGATCGGTAAGAACGGATCGATCCGTCCATCCGATAACTGAACGCGCAATGGCCAACCACGGCTAACGGCTAAAAGTGCCGTTTCCAACAAAAAAAGAAAAGTCGCCGCGACTCGTTGCCGTTGTTTGTTGGAAATTTGTTACTATCCAGCTCGGAGCCATGCCTTTCTCATCCATTTCTTTCGCGTGCGAACTCGTTCAATCGCTTGTTACGTGGTACAGTGCCACAAAGGCCACGTAAACGTGGTCGTCACGTTTGTTGAATCGTCGCGATTCAATTGTCGTAAATAAAAAAAAAAAAAAAAAAAACGAAAGTGCAAGGACGTACAGCGAAAGAAGCGAGGTAATTTCCACGAGCAATGTGTGCGTTATTGGAAACGTTATTGGATCGGGCGAATTTCAAATTCCGCGAGAAATCGCGTATATCTGGAAGAAGTCAAAGGAGCAAGATATATATTCGGACGCGGAGGACGTTTTTGCCGGCGCGTTGGACCACCTCGGAGAGATGAAGCTGTCTCCTCCGTTGCTGCGCCGTGCTCTAACCCCACTGACCCCTCGGTTTTTCGCGTTCGGCGATGTTCATCGGCTGTTTCGCACAATTCTCACGCGCGCGATCGTCAGAATCGGGGACATTGCAGAAAGAAACCGCCGTCAAATCCAAAGCGGGAACTGAACGAATCGCAGGGATCGCAATAAAAATGAACGCCGGCCCTCCGAAATTAGGGAGCGCAAAAACGGCTGACGGGGGCATTCGTACATCCACCGACGACGAATCGTTACCAGCCGCAGTGAAACGCAGTCAGCTGATGACAAGTCATACGTAAATAACGTCTGAACTGTCTCAAACGCTAATCAGTTCACTCTCTCCGTAATTAGATTCTTTTATTAAATATGCCTCGTTTCAATGCGCATGATGTAGAAAAATATTATATAAATTAATTCTTGTTCAAAACTGTTTATACATATTATGTAGACTATTATATTATGTTATTATTTATATTATATATATAATATAAATAATATATATTATACATATTATATATATCATAAAATTGAAAATTCTATATTTATATTATATAAATTAGTTCTTTTTGTCAAGTTTAATACAAAGAGGCATTAGTACAAAATGAATTTTATTAGTACTTTGATTCAACTTGTTCTGGTATTTCCAACTTTTCATCATAAGGAATCTTCTTTTATTGCTTCATTCATTTAAAAAATCAGAACGATATTACATAAACTAATTCTTGTTCAGAGTTAGAATTAATGTGCAAGTTTGACACAACTTACAATTGGCATTACTCAAATATAGAATGAATTTCATCTAAGGTATTAGTATAACTTGCGTCAAGTTAGTATATTCCCAACTTTTAACTCTGAGAAATCTCTTTCTTGACTGCCTCTCATCTGTTTGAAAAAAGTCAGACGCAGAAAGGCATTACGTAAACTGATTCTTGTTCAGAGTTTAAAGTAAAAGTTTGACACAGCTTTGAAGGGGCATTAGTCAAATACAAAACTGAAACTTCATCTGAACTGACACCAGTATAACTTGATTCAGTTTGCATCGAGTTCTTTCTTTCTTTGTTTAAATCGGCTTAAAAAATCAGATTCTGAGATGGAACTTAATCCGAGGTCCGAAACGAAGTCAAGAAAAGTCGTCATCCACCTGTGTAACGGCCATGTCTATTGGTCATCGATTTCGGAACAAACCGGTCGCGAGAGGGAGAGCGATCGAATAAGGAACGAGGCGAAAGAAGCGATTGTTGGTCGATTAGGTGGCCGAAAAGAGTCGAGCGCAATCACTCAAGCATGCCAGAAAGCGTGGAGATTTTCATTTGAGGGCTCTGGGGGCGATCGGAAGCCAGAGCCACCCACGGTGTGCCCTGCCACAGACGATCGAGGATTTCTCTTGATCATTTCGATCGCGCCGGCTCGCCTTTATGTGTATATTATGTATTTATTATGGTTGGACTACCAGGAACCGAGCGACAAAACCAGAGGAGCCTCGGCCTTTTGCTTTGGTCCGCGATCCTCGTTCCACGTACCGCTCCCCCTATCTTGACTCATTAATTGACACCGTGATGCTCGGCCCCGTCGACCATGGTGGTCCAAGCTGCCTTTTTAACGAAACATCGATTCTCCCCGATGCTCGGCCCTTTCGAGAGGAACCCCGCGAAGCCGGCCACGCGGGGAAAATAAATTAATACTCGCCCCAGGAAAGTCCCTAGACGAGTTTCCTTTCGCAATCGGCGAGTCGATTTAACTGGTCACTTCCACTGTTTTTGCTTTTGGAATTGCAGCTTGTTCGACGATTCATTGCGAGATTTATTTGTAACGCGAGAGTACAGAAGGGTGTCTCTCGAGGCATGCTGGAATGAAATTCTACAGTCTCGGCAATATGCAGCATTTCCGCAAAAATTTACGCGAGTTCTGAGTTTGCAAGATCTTCGAAACATTAAAGCAAGATTTTTGAACATAGCAGCAGCAATTAGATGGAGAATCTATTGCAAAATATTGCAAAATCTTTGCAACAAAAGATCGATCGAAACGACAGACATTTCGTCGAGCTAATTTCACCGTGCGTTTCCAAACGGTCTTCACTTCAGACAAAATTCCCCAGTGCCCAGTGCGTGTCACGTACCGTCCGTAGTCGTGCGTTTTTGAACGGGCCCCGTTTATGGGGCAATCTGTAAGCCGCGAACGATCTGTGACACCGCGTGGAACTGGGCCGACGTTCATAACGCATTTACATTCTTTTCAATGTCGCGCCACGTCCATCGGAGGCCACCGGTTCGATTGGTATTCCGTGGCTGGTTCCTTCGATTTATCAGACGTCCCTATAACTGCCATATAAGTTCCACGCTCGGAATATAGTAGGAGAGTGAGTACTGCTTCGATCGGTTTGCTATCGATTATTTCTGGACTGGGCAGAATATTTAAATTTAACCGCGATATTCAGCAGACGTAGACGATACTCAAGTGAAGCAGTGTTAGACTATTGGACAGAGGCTGTTCTACGATCTTCACGTGGTGAAAATCTTCGACGAGAGAGCGATTGCGAGCCGGTGGAAAGAGGAGAAAATAAAGGAAACGCGCGGATGAGGATCGAGGCCTCGCGTAAGTATTCAAAGATCGATCGAAACTCGACCTGGTTCTCGGAAGCGTTGCCCGTGGCCGATTGTTATTCCGCTTGTACCCGGTGTAATAATAAATTATGATTCTCTTTTGAAATAGGTGGGTGCCAGGCAGATTCCTAACGGGGCTGCAGGCCCCCATATTTACGATTATAATGTCCGCATAGCATTATTTCGATCTGGGAAACGCGAGCATGACGGAATGCCACCGGCCCGTCATGTTGCCGCATAACAATACTCGCGATCCTTCACCGCCATTGTTATTCGAATCAGATATGAATATGATTCACGTGTCCCGATCCGTTCGATCCGCATGTATGATCGATGCTCAATGAATTCGTGCCGAATTATTTCTCACCACAAACACCCTTCTGAATGCGCTTGTTGTTGTCTGTGTCTGTCTAGACAATAGCAAAACTTTGTTTCTCGTTCAATTTTTTTTTTTTTTTTTTTTTT